GGGGCTTGAACTCTGGGCGCTGTCCCTCAGCTCTTCCTTCAGCTTGAGGTTAGCACTCTACCACTTGAGCCACAGCACCACTTCCAGTTTTCTAGTGGTTTATTAGAGATAAGAGTCTAACGGACTTCCCAGCTGGGCTGGCTTTGAACTGCGATCCTCACATCTCAGTCCCCTGAGTAGCTAGGATTGCAGGCATGAGCCACCAGCGCCCAGCTGCAATTTTTTAAAGTATAAAAATTTATAAAATTTATTGTTGTTGTTATTAGATATGGCTCCTTTCACAGAAATTTACATGTGAGTTTGAAGATATGTGGGTACTCTGAGAGAAATGCATAGTGTAAATACAGTTCAATATATAATCCTGTTTTCTATTTATCTGTGTAAGTAGGAATTGCTGTCCAAACAAGAATTTATAAATACAGAAATTGAGACTAACATTTCATTGAACAAATTAATCTACTCAGATTTTATTTTAAATAATGGAAATATAGTTATTTAGTAGTAGTCTTAGAGCATTGAGTGCATAGAGCAGGAATCTGAGAGTCAGGACAGGTAGAAGCTGTGTTGTTCTAACTTCAACAAGCTGCATGTCCACCGTGGTCCCTTTCACATCTTTTTTCCTTGTCAAAGCTCAGGGGTGTGAGCTAAGTATGTCTATAGCCTTTACTAGACTTACAACATATGAAACTTATACTTATGAAAAGACCTTTTTTTTTTTTTTTGTCGGTCATGGGGCTTGAACTCTGGGCCTGGGCGCTGGTCCCTCAGCTCTTCAGCTCAAGGCGAGTGCTCTACCACTTGAGCTACAGCGCCACTTCCGGTTTTCTAGTGGTTTATTGGAGATAGGACTCTCACGTTCTCTCCTGCCCGGGCTGGCTTTGAACCTCGATCCTCAGATCTCAGCCTCCTGAGTAGCTAGGATTACAGGCGTGAGCCACCAGCGCCCGGCATGAAAAGACCATTTTTGCTCATTAAACCTGCACGTGTTTTGATAAAGGAGTAAAATAATATTTGTGACTGAAGTCTAAGAGTTAGCACCATGGAAATAATGTTGTTGTTCTTTTAATCCAAATGTTCTAACAGACCAACAGTGACTTTTGTTGAGAGTCTGCTGGTAGTGTGTGTGTGTGTGTGTGTGTGTGTGTGTGTGTGTGTGTGTGTGTGTGTGTATGTGTACTTACCTTGCAGATTCCTGAACCTGCATTTATGGGGAGGAAGTGGCATCTAACTTCCTTCCTGTGATCTCTGCTGAGACAAATAAGGCATTCACTTGTCAGCTGCCGTTTTCTCCCATATAATCAGTCAATGCCTCTTGTCTGGGCTCTGACATCTCTGCAAAGTCCAGGGAACCAGGGATCTGTGATGTGTAATGCTTCCATTTGAACTTCACTACACCCCGTCAGGACACTGAGGGTGATGGAGAGAGAGATCTGGAAATATCTCATTAGATGTCATTACAATGCTCATGAAAAATTTTAGTCCCAAGTCTTTTATGGATAATGTCACTCTTTTTCAGGTGTTTTGACTAAATTATTGCTGTATTTACCTTACATTTACCTTAAACATGTGAAGATAATTGTCAAATTATTAGTATATTTATTGTTGAGTTTTATATATTTGTTATATATGGTATATTGCTTATTTCTTTTTTGGCCTGTTATATAAAAATACCCTTTTATTGTGAATTTAAGTATCTGGGGCTATACTAAGTATTGAACATATATCTTGGAACAGATCATTAACAGATGTAATCATGGGGCTTATGTTCTAGGGAGTATAAAAAACAAAACTATCAGGTATTGAGATAAAAATCAACTAATGTATTGGGGATTTAGTGGGAGGCTAATTTAAGGTAACTGATTAAGAAGACTTTTCAGAGAAGGGGAATTTATGTAGCGATATGACTGAGAAGAACATCTGGTAAAATACCATCCTTTTATGTAATGATGGAGAAAGCTAATACAGAGGCATGGATGAGCTGGGGATACTCCAGGAAGAATAATACTGCCACAGGACTGGAGAAGATGAGCAAAGGAAGTAGAAAGAGAGAGAGAGAGTTGGAGAAGTTGGAGATCTCAGCCCATGGTAATCTAGGGTGAGGAGTTTTAGTTTCTTCCAAGCATGTTGGGAAGCAATGGAAGCTTTCTGTAGCTGAATAACATAATTCAGTTTATAACTATAGTCTGGTTTCTGGATATGAAATGAATTGTTGGGAATAAGAATGGAAGCAAAGAATCTAGTTGGCTAGAGAAGTGCTGGGAGGTGGTGGTGGTGGTGGTGGTGGTGGTAGTGGTGGTTGGTGGTAGTGATGGGGTGTGTGTGCGCATGTGCGTGTGTGCGTGTGTGTGTGTGTGTGTGTGTGTGTGTAGGATTCTGTCAATGGTCAGCCTGATTTTCTTTCTCCTTGTTGTACAATATTTTAGGACTGGGTCTATGTTATCATGTGCTCTAGCACTTTCTTCTGGGACCAGCCTGCAGCTAATCTTTGGCCGAGACAACTTTCCTGCCCTTCTCATCCTATCCTGCTTCTTTTCATCTTCTTGTTCTCAATAAATAACTTGAACTTGTTTCAGGCAGCATGGTCTAAGCCATGATTTATTGTAGCAGGAGGTTTAAGTAGAGAAGAGAGGATGGATTAGGAATATTCTAGAGTTAGAGTCTACAAAAAATGGATCAGGTATACAAGAAAACTACGGATATTAAAATAGTTCTTAAATGTTCTCATTGAGGAACTTGATCTACAAAGGCATTATTGTTAAAAGGAAATATCTGAAAGAAAATGTGTACAAAAAAGAGAAGCAAAGATTATTTCAGATATGTAAAACTTCAGATGTTTATAAATGGATATATCAGATAGACAAATGAATATTGTGTCTTTTGCTCCAAGGCATAGTTTGAAGTTTAGAGTTGTTGTCTTATTACTATTACTATTATGAGGTGATTACTATTATCCATACTCACTGACTAGAGAGGTTAGTAGCTCATGAGGAAAGTAAGAGCACTTCTGTCACAGGAACTATGATCATGAGGTGCTGCAATGAAGAAACATCATTTAGCTATCTAAATGGCTGGTAAATAAAGGCAAAGAACCAGTCATGGAATATGGCAACATAGATGTTAGCAGCTTCAACAACAGAAGATATTTTTTGTCAGTCTTGGGGCTTGAACTCTGGGCCTGGGTGCTGTCCCTGTGCTCTTCAGCTCAAGGCAAGCGCTCTACCACAGAAGATTTTTAACAAGAGAAGATTCTGAGGAGATGTGTATCCAGGTGTCTGAACTCATTAAGATCATTGTGCACATTGGATGTATACAAAATTTTGCATCCAACTATAGTTAATTAAAATACAAAAAAATCAGAGAATGGAATATTAAGAAGCAGATTTTTTTTACTTCATTAACTGTTATTGTGGGTGTGTGGGGAGAGCAAGTATAGAGAATCCAATGGTAACTCAAGGGAAGTAATGGGCCCAGGAGTTTTGTTTTAAATCAACATCATTAGGAGAGATAAGTTGATTATCCAAGACAGCAGGAGTAGTTGCTGCATAAAATATTTGAACAGGCAAAATGTGATGAATCCAATGTTCTTGAGCAGAGATTAGTTTTATACTTAATCCCTTATAAATTGTAGTACAAAAAAATTACCAGAGGATTCCAGTGTCAATGAAGAAAGGTGCACACGTGTTATAGTGTGTGGCAGGATTTATTTTTATCGGACTCTTCCTGTCCTTATTGAGCCAGGAGCTGAGAACCCCAGGTGAGAAAGGGTGATGGAAGAGCCCTTATTTTAGAGACAGAGAGAAGCATAGAGGTGAAAGAATCATGGGGCTGGTAAGAAAATATATTTACAGGAGTGATGTAGTATAATTTCCAAGTACTGCTGGATGCCCTTTCCCTACGTGTTCTCATGAATTTTAAAGAAAACCAGTCAGTATGGAAATGAGCTCGAGCCTGGCCTGGGTAGAAGCACAGGAGAGGATTTGTTGGGTTTAATTAGCAAATGGGTTTTGTCAGGAAGACATGGGAGGCTTCTGGAATTTGGAAGGGATTGACTGAAGATATGCTGTCAAGTCAAACCCAGATGGAGCTGGAAGGGAGAATGGAGGCTAGGGAGTGAATGGATTTTATATTTGTATGAAGTTTGGGAAATTCTGTGATGAAAGGAGTAGAACTTAGGAACTTTTTAAATGGCAAGAGGTAGACTGTTAGACGAGTTACAGGAATTAGCAATGGAGCCCAGGAGGTTGAGGAATTTTGAGGACAGGATATTGCAAGCATCATGCACGTTGATATCAACGTCTCTAAACTTGGGAAACACCAGGAATATGGAGCTTTTAAGGCCAGGGCCAGAGTCATCAATGAAGAAGAGAGAAATGGCCAAGTGGTATGTATCCCATTGATCTACGAGTTCGGACTACTCAGAAGCGCACTTGGTTGTAAGAATGATCTCATGTAGAAATCGAAGTCTACGGCCAAGTGTCTCCTCGTGGCTTCTCTTCATCCTGGCAGTGGGTTTTGACTCAGGCCTGCAGCTCTGCTCCTGGTCTGTTTAGCCTTCCCTCTGCTTTGTGCGTTCGCTGGGGGGGGGGGGGGCTCCTATCAGCAGGAGCATCGACCTCTAAACCAGGAGCCAGCACAGACCGGCTGACCTCTCCACCCCAAGATCAGCCTGCTCTGGTTAAAATCTGGGACAACTGGCTGTCAAGTAGGGCCGCCATCCTTTATCTCCCCAAACTTGTTCCACGCTGAGCGTCCCAGCGCGGATCGGATCACTTCTCTTGACTTCCATGGAGGTGTTTGGGCTGGTTCCACCTGGCTTACCGTCTGTACTCAGGTTTGCCTTCAGGCCCAGGGACCGCCGCAGCTGCAGAGGATGGGGCAGGCCGGGGCCTGAGCACATGCGCTCCGGTCACTCAGGGTCCCCCAGGCCGTGGTAAGCACCGCTCCCCCGCCTCTGCCTCTGCTCCCTTCAACCCATGCTGGATGTTTTCATTTCCGTGCAGGGAATTACGGGGAGAGTGGAATGGACGCCTTCAAAGAACTGGCGGCTCAGGAAGGACTGTGCATCGCCCACTCGGACAAGATCTACAGCAACGCCGGGGAGAAGAGCTTCGACCGCCTCCTGCGCAAGCTCCGCGAGCGGCTGCCCAAGGCCAGAGTGGTGGTGTGCTTCTGCGAGGGCATGACCGTGCGCGGCCTCCTGAGCGCCATGAGGCGCCTGGGCGTCGTGGGCGAGTTCTCCCTCATCGGAAGGTGAGCCACTCTGCCGCTTCGTCTCCCTCCCTCCCTCCCTCTCTCCCTTCCCCCTCGCCCCCCCCTCTCACACACACACCTATAAATTACTTTATACACACTTACTCTTTCTTCCTGATTCTAGTAGTCTGAGCTGTGCAGTCGCTGGGTTTAGCATCAGTTTTGGGTCTCCTTGGCAGGAAGACTATTGGCATCTTCCTTGGGAGGAAGACTATTGGAAGGAAGGAAGGAAGGAAGGAGAAAGAAAGAGAGAAAAAACCCAGAATAATCCTTAATAAAATAATGAGGGTAATCCACAGAAGGACCTGAAGTCCTTTGTCCGAATGTGTCTTGTCCTGGAGAATTATTTCTTTGCATGGATACAGCTCCCCGCCCCCACCCTCCTCCCTCCAGCAAATGGTATGTCTGCATACTTCCTAAGCATGGACATCTTAGTGGGGGCACTTGGTGGGGGGGGGCGGAGGAACAGCGATTGGTGGGAAGCAGTGGAAATGGAAACTATCTAATAAAAGTTTGAAATTTACTTGGCCAAATACAAGTGAAGGCATGTATCTACATTTTATTTATCTCTCGTACTGGGCTTTGAACTTGGGACCTACGGGGATTGGCCACAAAATTCTGTCCCTTTGAGTCGTACCTCCATCCCTGATCTTTAATTTTTACTTTGGCAGTACTGGGATTTGAATTAGTCTTATGCTTGCCTAGCATTCTACTCCCCCAGACACTCTCCAACTGTCTTTTGCTCTAATTATTTTTCCTATGAGTTTGCATCCCCAGCCGGCCTTGGACTGGGAACCTCCTAACCATCCCTCCCACATAGCTAGGATCACAGTGTGTGCCTCAGTTTATTGGTTCTGATGAAGTCTCATTTTTGCCTCAATTGGCCTTGAACCATGATCTTCCTGATCTCTGCCTTCTGGCATTAGCTGTGGTTATAGGCATGAGTCACCTGGCTTTCAGGTGAACTTCAGATAGAGATAATATAATCTCCTTGCACACTTATGAATTGGATAATCATGATGCTTTCTGCAGGCCATTTTTGGAATTGTAGGTGGTGGGGTCTAAAATCTCTACTCTCTAGATCGTATTTATTTCTACAGAAATAGATTCTCCATTGCATTGTTGATTTTCTTAGGATTTTTGGCCTACCTGGTAACATGTTTACTTTGCCCTCTTCCCACACTGTGTGAAGGAACTGAGCATGTTTTCTGAGAAACTCATATTTGGTACTGGAAGGAAAACTGCTCGACACTCTCACACTCAGCCCCAGATCTCAGTGCCCCATTTTATCTCTTCCACTGCTGGAATACAGTCCCACCACACTCACCAAAGAACCTCCATTGCTGACCCTTTCTATTCTGTGCTTGTGGCGTTGACTAACACAATGGTGAGATTCACCTCACGATCTGGATTACAGCATGAGACACTGAAGACTTTTGAGACAGTGGGAGAGAAATACAGACCAATAGAGAAAACAGTGGGACAGAGGAGGTGTGGCAGCAAGGGCAAAGGTGAAATTCAAGATGATGATGAATAGGTTTGGATTTGGGTAGCATCGGCAGACAGCCACCAAGAACCGTTCTGGCTTCTTCAGTGTGATGCAGTTGTACAAAGCCACTTGAAATATTCTTGAGAAAGCTAGCCCTTTAAGGAGTATTTAAAGACAAAATAATATCTGTCTTAGGAGTTAAAAGGATATAAGCACATTGTTGAAGTGTTCTTAATATATGCACTAGGACAGATGGTGCACAGATATTCAGTTCTTTCGATTGCTTTTGTAAAATGACTGCTTTTTATAAAGAATTTTTGTCAAAAATCTTATGTTTATTAATCAAAAACAACTAAAATCTATTTGTCAAATTTATCCTCTTTACTATCCTCAAAGGCTATCTCTACTTTAGTCCTAGGGATCTTGAACAGATGTGGCAAAATAGATGAGCTTGGAGGTCTATGGACTCCCTAATTATGACACATAATCATACAAAATGTTGCACATAATTGGAGTGTAAATTCATCCCATCATCATTATTTAAAAGCTAGGCAAAATGGTAATGGCAGGTTAGGCTTTTCTGATTTTTGCTTATCTGCTAATAGAAGACAAGTGAGCTCATGTCAGCATCCCTGAATTTTCACATGAGTTTGCTCAAGAAGAGAGCAGTTACCTGTCATACCTATTTCCTGGTGTCCATTTGTGGTGGGTTCTGTAAACATATTGTAAAGAACTATTGCCACAATGCATACTTGAGCTTCCCAAATCACTGCTACCCATTCCAATGGCATGAAAACTTTGACGCACTCAAACTGGACTCTAGGCAAAAGTGAGAAGCCTGTGTCTGTCTGTCTGGTCTACATTTCATGAGGGTCTATCAAAGTGGTGTTGGCTTTTGCTTCCACATCCTAGAGGATGTCCAAGAAAACATCCATTTTCAATTATTTTCCTCTTTATATTATTATCTTCAATAGCTGTGCAAAGGGATTTTAATTGAGCAAGTCTATTTTGTGTGTGTAGTGTACCTTGATTTGTGCCCTTCCTTCCATTGTTCTCACCCACAAATGTGGCATCCCTTCTAACTACTCATTTCCTACTGCCAGTTCTCATATGCACACAGAGGCTTATGATTCTTATATACCCCCATTCCTCTCTCCATTTGTCAGCCTTCCCTGCCTACCTCCAGAGGTTGTATTTCAAACTCCTGGTATCCATTTCATGACTCTGTCTGTCCAATTTTCAAAGGGTTTACTATATGGAAACCCACTCCTGCCTGCCCCATACTTGGTTTGCTTGTGTATGCATGCAGATGGCCCTATATGTGAATCATACAATGTTAAATGTTTCTTTGCTGATAGTTCCTTCTTCTCTAAGCTTCAGATATGAGAACGTCAAGGACTCTTCCAGGTACAAAGTCAAATAGCAACACCGTGTACTTGGAATTAGCCTTCCAAGGGGATTCATTCTCTCTCTTTTTGTGGGATGAGCTCTATTGTAAGTGCAGCTCTGTCAGCCATGCCATGGCCTTTGGTGGACTTGGTTCCCCATTTCAGCAGACATAGCCAGAGCCTTTAACATTTAGCTTTAAGCTTCAACTTCCAACCCTCCAAATAATGCCATCAAGTCTATCTCCCCCTTATTCAAAGGAGTATCCGCTACCAAATGATGGACTACTTTTAAGGTCAGGTATCATCTGATTTTTCTCTCATAACCACATGGTATGACCCTGGCTGCTGCCAGATTCGCAGGAGTGTTGCATAGGTGAAAGCAGACCTCTTTCATAGGTGAAAGTAAGTCTGTGTGTAGATTATAAGAGGTATTTCATTAAAGATAGAAAGCACTTTTAAATTTTTATTCTTGTTAGTATACATTAATAGTATGAGTCTATGAGTGTGTACTATGAGGTGTACTTTGAACAAGCACACCTTCTCTATTACATTTCCCCCTTTGCAAACTGGTGTGTTTTGTTCCCTCTCTCTGTCTCTCTCTCTGTATCTCTCTCTCTCTGCATCTGTCTTCTATCTATCTATCTATCTATCTATCTATCTATCTATCTATCTATCTATCTATCTATCAGAATCTTCTTCATCCTGTTACACCTTCTCCCCTCCTCCAAGATGGTATTTGCCCCCAACTAATAAGTTCTTTAATTTTTTTCATGACTTTCATTTTCCATCATTATTTTGCCTTTAGAACATCAGGAATATTTCTTAGCACTACCATCAAAGCATACTGAGAGTGTGACAACTTACCACCATTCTACTGTAGCTGTCCTAGGCCCCGCCAGCATCATTTCATGCTTGGCTTGTCACAGTTACCACATAATCGACTTCTCACTTCTTTTTAACACGGAGGAAAAATGATCTTTTAAAACTTAAGTCAGATAATGTCACTCTTTACTCTTCATGCTCCATACCTTTAAATGGATTCCAGTTTCTTTCATAATAACGTCCTCACAGAAACCCACATTCTGTCATTAAGACTGAGTTGCTTAAACAGATACTCCAGGGCAGAACAATGGAGTATGTCCCAATGAAAGTATAACTATTATGTCAAAACTCTATTGATGGCACCTAAGTGACTGAATATTGTTGGTATAAGACTAAATGTACTGTAGTGTTTTGTTTTTTCACATTTGATATTATGGCTTCCTGGGAGTAGTGTTTGCTGCTACTGCTCGACCTCACAAAAGGACTATTGTAGCAAATACTATGAGCCTAAGAAAAGATTAAATTCTGAATTCAAAGGGTAGTTTCTACCAAACATGTCAGGTTTTCATTTTTATAAAATCAAAGAAAATTAAAACTCAAGCCATCATAAATTTATGACTATCCATAATGGTTACTAAGCTGTAACCAAGAAAAATAGATTTGGGGAAAAAATAAAGTCTCAAAGAAAATGAAGTAGTCTGTATCTAACCAATTTGAGATCATGGAAAAGAAAATAAACAAAAAATACAAACCAGGAATAAAGCCAGCAGACTCACAAGAGAATCAGATTTTAGACAAATTAGTATAGTATTCTCACCAAATAAGTAATCAATCAAGTTTATCATCATGTAAAAGAATAATTTCTTTTGGCTCTATAAAATTGCCATTTTTGAGATGCTTCTCAGACCTATGCTCACCAATCTATTTTACAATACAATTTTATAATACAATTTTTATGGACATCTTTTTAGGACTTACTTTATGCTAGACACTATTCTAAGCATGTTAGCTATTTTAATTATCATAATCAAATGATGAGATAGATACTAATATTTTCACCATTGGATGAATGGCAAAGTAAAGTAAGTTAGCAGTGCGGCAGAGGCAGAGCTAGGATTTGAATCTTGACATGAGACTTTATAATCTTTCTTATAATTAGCAATTTATACTATATGTCAAGCTTTAATTGTTTTATCAAGATATACTTTTTTGAGGAAATGACTTGAAGTTTCTGTATCTCATGAGAAAATGATTTTGCATTTCTAGCTATTCTGTATTTCTTTAAATCCTTTTATTTTCTC